GATCTGTGTGCAGTATGGTCAGTTATGGGAACAGGGCCAGGAAGTAAGTGATGCAGAAGATAGAGGCTTTCTTAGTTTTGTAAGGTGGCTTGATGGTCTTGAGTAATGGTCTTGCATGGAGTTACCTAGGAGGAAATATGTGAGCTATCTTACTCATGTTCCCACCCTTGGTTTTAAAATGACCACACAGGTATCTCTGAACTGAGAACTTGGCCAGAGGCAAGACAAAAAACATTCAGCTCAGATTTCAAAATAAGTTCAGCAGAAGGACGGTGCTGGAGGAAGAACAATTCAGTGCGAGGATTCATTCCAAGCCAGTTCCTCTTTATTCTGTCATTCTATTTCCTGTGATAGGTGTATGTTGCTTTTAAGTTTCTATTTCAAGAAGGATAAAGCAATACGTCTTCATGGAGAAATGGAATCAGAGCTCAAGTGATTTCATTTTGTTAGGGTTGTTTCCACAAAACCAAACAGGCCTTCTGCTTTTGCTGCTCATCATCTGCATATTCTCTGTGGCCTTGCTTGGCAACTCAACAATGATCCACCTCATTTGTGTGGATCCAAGGCTCCACACTCCCATGTACATTCTCCTCAGTCAGCTCTCTCTCATGGACCTGATGTATATTTCTTCCACTGTTCCCAAGATGGCATTCAACTTCCTCTCTGGCCAGAAGAGCATTACCTTACTGGGCTGTGGAGTGCAATCCTTTTTCTTTCTGACCATGGCATGTTCTGAGGGCTTGCTCCTGGCCTCCATGGCATATGACCGTTTTGTGGCCATCTGCCACCCCCTTCATTATCCAATACGCATGAGCAAAATGAAGTGTCTGAAGATGATCATAGGATCCTGGACCTTGGGCTCCATTAACTCTTTATCACACACAGTCTATCTCCTTCACCTTCCTTTCTGCCATTCTAGGTCGGTTAATCATTTCTTCTGTGATGTCCCTGCCATGGTGCCCCTGGCCTGTATGGATACTTGGGTTTATGAGTACATGGTATTTGTGAGCACATGCCTGTTTCTTTTATTTCCTTTCCTTGGCATTGCAGTTTCCTATGGACGGGTCCTTTTT